AGCAACCCCCCCAAAAAAAACAACTCCATTCTCAATATTTGCAGAAATACCCCAATTCATCAACTTGGAGAACATACTCCTCGCATCCATAAATCAACTTTGTTGGACGTGTTAATTGAATATGTCTATTTTGTTGACATTTTTACATTGTAGCTACAAATTAGCTTGTCAACATTGTATGTTTTGTTGATTTGGGTGTATTTTTTTTCAGAGTTGATGAGTGGGGGGTAACATTGCAAAACATGCATAATTTAAGGGGTATATATACAAAGAATCATTTTAGTTATATTGAGGGAAATGACAATTTATCGGCATCTTGGAAGAAATAATATCGTCTATTTTTCAGGGATGTACTTGCTAATAAAAAAAGTTTATGGTGTAAAAGTGGATATATACATTATCATAGTACATGGGGTTTATATGCAGCTAACCCATAATTTTATGGTGTTATGTTAGTTGGTGTAGATAGTGTAAGATTTTGGCATTCTTTTGCTGCTGGATCATTCTTTTTGGGTGTGTATCTTTTCTCATAAAATGATCCAAATAAAAGTGAAGGTTATAATAAGATCATTCTTAAGAGAAAAAAGTATTTGGCAATGCCGTTGAGTACTGTAATTTCTTGTGTCCTTTTCTTGCTTACAGGCCTGTATGACACTGTTGAAAGTTTTATCCATTTCCATTTTTTTTAAATGCTTTGTTCTATCGGCATAAATAACTTTGTTGCATGTAAGATGTTGGAATGTGAAAATGCTCTGTTATACGTGATTCATTTTACAAATGCAATTATTATTATTTGGGTTAATTGCAAATACACCCTCCTTGGAGGGAGGGAGTGAATCCCTAATTTTTCTTTTTAGTATTTAACTCCTCTTAAAGTCCATACGGAGTGTTTTCTTCATTATTTGTACTGACTATATGATTGTCACATGACGTTAATGTGTTACAATGTGATCCCCTAATATTTATGCAACCCCACATTAGTATTGAAATACACATTCTCCATGTAATACAAATACAATTGGCGAGAGATATCTCTGTTTGGACATCAAGAAGTCTAAGTACTTAATTAATTACTATTTTCTTATATAAACATTCTGGTATACTGAGATATGATGTAATTACACCTGTGATTCTGAAGTCTGCTTACTCACATGAATGACTTCGAGATTGCCCTGTGTGTCTTTTTTTGGCGGGGGTCTTTTTTGCCAAAACACTGAATATGTAGCAAAAATGTCAAATAAAAGTAATAACCAAGATAACAATTTCCTAAACTAATCGATCAAGAACACGTAAGATTTTATGGTGGTTCGGATAAATAATTTTGCTATCATCCTTCCTTCATGCGAAGGGGCATCTTCACTATGTCAAGAGCTTAGCTGAATAACAAATCCGATTCAATTGACTTATAAGATTGCACTCTGGAATCTGCTCCAAATCAGTTATTTAATTTAACTCCTACAACGTGTAATTCTTAGCTCTAGCTTGTACCGATGCCCAATTCAACCGGCTTGAGTATGCTGTAAAAGAAATTCAAATAAGAACAAACCAAATATTAATTAAGCACATAAATCAAAACGATCTTACTAACCTTTTGATAAAACAAACCGTCCCTTATAGGATATAAGCAAAACTTGATAAAAAATTGTGAAGAAGATCAATCAAATGACAACTCTCCTCGTTGATACGATGCAATGACTTAAAGGGTTCAACGAGGCTCCTAGGAATCAAAATTTGTCTTCAAGATCCCTCAATATCAAACTCTAGAATCCGTCTTCTTTTCGCTCTCTTTTAGTGATATACTAGGATTGAAAAGAGATCTCTTAAACATGGTAGAAGATGGAGTATATATAAAATAACAAACAACTGTGATTAGATGTGAAAAATTACAATTTGCTGTTTTCATCATCGATGGTGACTCTTGACCGTCGATGGTGTGAAGAGACCATCGATGGTTGAGAAGCCCATCGATGATATTCAAGTACTTGGACATTTGCACGATCGATGTGTCATAGGACCATCAATGGTCAATGAACTACCATCGATGGTAATGTTGCTGAAATAACTTTGAGCTGATTTTTACGTCGTTCCGCCTTGTACACGTCTCATACCTATACTTCTACTACAACATCTCAAACCAATATTAGTACCAAATGAGAGTTGTTATTATTTAAACAAGAGATATTGTACAAACAATATCGTAACAATCTGTGTAATTATAATTAGCAATCTCAGGATCATCCATGTAGATACGCTGACTCTAGGGTGTTGGAATTAGGATGCAAGCCCCAGATCCCTTTTTCTTATGGACATATGTCTTAGCAGAAGGCAATTCACTTAAGGCAATTCACTTGGTTGAATAAGAGGGATAACTGCAGTCTTGTTAAGCTTGATAGATTTCTCATCAATGTTGCCTTTGAATCAAATTTTCATGCTCCGAGTCGATGTGCTTATCCTACTTCATGTTCAGATCACATTCCGATCATCTTGGACTTAGTGGTCCCATTCCCAAACCCCTTTTCAGATTTGAGAAAGTTTAGCTTTCCCATTCCTCTTTCAAAGATTTCGTAGGTGAATGTTGGCTCTCTTTTGCTTATAAAGGTAACCTTATAGTTATTTTTAATTCCAAACTTAAACTTCTTAAAAGAAGAATTAAGTGATGAAAAAACATATCTTTGGTTCCATTAACTTCTCCAGAAGGAAAGTTCTCTCATCTATTGAATCTCTTGACATTATTGAAGAGAATAGAACCTTTTCAGAGTAAGAGGCATCTTCTAGGAGACAATTCAAGTTAGATCTTGAATTGATTGCTAACAAGAGGAAATTCATTGGTGCCAAAGTTCAGAATCACATGGCTGAAAGAAGGTGATAATAACACCTTTTTTTCAATAAAATAGCCTCCTCAAACAGAATGAAAAATTTCATACCCCCTGTCACCTTGAATGACCAAATTGTCTCCTCTGAACAACGTAAACAAAAATGTTAATCTTGATTTTTTTTTATTCTCTGTTCTCTACCAAGGGTCATTCTTCTTTTAGTCTTGAGTGGTTCTCTCTTTATCCATATCCTGTCTGGATCATCAATGACTTGATGGGAAGTTCTCTTATGAAGAAATTAAGAATGCTGTCTTTGGACTACACCATGATAAATGCGTAGTTCAATTCTCTTCTACCAAGAGTTTTGGGAGGTCATCAAAGCTGATATTTTCTCTATCTTTGATGCACTCTACCTTGATGCTTCTCCCCTTCACAGTTTCAATTTCTCTGTCATCTCCCTCATCCTAAAAATTAGAGGGGCATAATGCCATGTTAAAGACCTTAGACCTATAAGCCTTTTAAATTGTCTCTTTAAAATTTTTACTAAGATTCTTGCTAATAGACTGTCTTCCCTTCTATCTTTTCTGGTTGACGCTTCTCAATCTGCCTTCTAGAATGACAAATCTACTATGAAGGGGCATAATGGCATGTTAAAGACCTTAGATCGATAAGCTTTTTAAATTGTCTCTTTAAAATTTTCACTAAGGTTCTTGCTAACAGACTATCTCCCCTTCTATCTTTTTTGGTTGACCCTTCTCAATATGCCTTCTAGAATGACAAATCTACTGATTTATGTGTTATTGCTAAAGAGGCTCTCACTTGTATTATACTAAAGCAAGAAATTTTTTATAATCAAAATTGAACTTATGAATGCATTTAATTGTTTTAGGAGGGGTGTTAGAGACACACCCTTGGGCACACCACCAACCACACTCCCCCTCTATCTACAGTGCAGGGGCCCCACATGTGATTTTTTTTAAAAAATCACATGTGGGGCCCCTGCACTGTAGATAGAGGGGGAGTGTGGTTGGTGGTGTGTCCAAGGGTGTGCCCTTATCATTTCTTTTGTTTTAGCTGGAATGCATTTAATTGTTTTAGCTGGTCTTTCATTCTTGAAATGCTTAAAGCTAGGGGCTTTCAGCTCAAGTGGTGTCATTGGATAGGAGAAGTTCTATACTCTTCCAAGTCTGCTATTTTGGTGAACGGTTCTCCTTAAAAAAATTTTAATTGTTCTAGGGGTCTGAAAAAGATTGACCCTCTCTCACCCATGCTTCTTATCCTTGCTGTAGATGTCCTTAATAAGATGCTAATATCTAGTGTCGCAGCTAGTGATCTATTTGAATTGCATCTCAAAGAGGACTTAATAACATTTGTTCCCTCAAATTTGCTGTGGACACCATCATTATGTGTAGAGATACCACCTCTAATTTTGCTATCTTGAAATCTATCTTTTACATGTTTGAGGACATCTCAGGTTTAAGCATTAATTATGCAAAAAAAAGTTTTATTTTGGTAAAGTAGCCAACAGAGATGCTTTATTTGCTAATATTAACTGTTCTCTTAAGAATCCTCTCTTTAAATATCTTGGAATTCTATGAAAAAAGGTTCTCTCAATAAATAAGATTGGCCACCTCTTTTAGATTCTTTAAGAGGTTATCTATGTGGAAAAGTAAGCAACTATCCATTTGAGGACGCTTAACTCTTATGAACTTGGTTCTATCCTCTATTTCCTTATATTATATGTGTTTTTTAAGCTTCCAAATTCACTTATCAAGATAATGGATAAGATCAAAAGATATTTTTTATGTGGAGGAAATAATAGTATCTCCGTGTTGTGCACAGCGGAAATTTCGGCAACACCTCTGGTGCACGACAAGAGAGTAGATCTCAACTAAATCAATTTCCGCTAACACATCTGGTGCACGACAAGAGAGTAGATCTCAACTAAATCTCTGTTTCACAAAGGAAACAAGAACCGAAAGTAAAATATCTCAACAAAGTGTGATATTAACTCTTCCTCTCATCAGTTCTAGGACTGACCTATCGAGAGAACCTAAACTCTCTATTACAAATCACAGCATGAACAATTAATTTTAACGTGGTTCGACAAATTGCCTACATTCACGGGACAAGGAGGGGAGAGATCTATTATTAGAGGGAGAGA